CAGTAGTATAAAATTGTGGAATTATTTATCATACTGACAACACAGGTGCTAGCTTAAAACCCAGACACACGTGGTTCGCCGATCTTATGCCGCTGCCTACAGCAACTGCGAGGGGTTCAGCTTATCAGTAGATCGCCCATGCTTCCCCGTATGTTTTCTAGTATATAAACTCCAGTTTCATCTTGGCGTTGACTGTGTCCAGTCGTGCCTTAGATTCCGTGAGACAGTCGTGGCGGCTGCTTTTGTAGGTTTTTGGGGCAATCTGAATTGGTGTCAAATTTGTTTGTTGATTTACTTACGGGTGGTATCCAAGTGGCTTGTGTTGCGCTCGCAAGGGAATGGTGTGTTCTAGTGGCGCATGGGTAACTGCAGCGGTAACTGGTAATGAATGTACCCCCTCTAGGTTGAAATCCGCGGCGACCCTGTCATATCCGCGCCTCAGACGCAAGTGGAACCAGTTGAGGGGAAGAACTATGAAGACTTGTACAGAAATTCCAAGAAGACTTGTGGCACAGTAGATGTTATTCAGTGACCTGCCGCCTTTCTTGAGGAGTGGCATGTCGACACTGTCACACCAAACTACCTGAACAGTCCCCTATTTGAATTTGAGGCGAAAGGCCTGTGAAATCGGTCCAGTAACACTAACAAACAGCACTGTGAGGTAGTCCTTACAGAGTACCCTACGTTCCTTCTGCTTTATTGTCACCCCAAGAGATGGTGCGCTGTCATGTTTGAGAATTAGGTGGTCATTAAACTGGATGGTAGATGAGGATCCCAAGAGAGCCGGGTCCGTGATTTGGACCAAATCATAATTTCTTCGCCGTAGCCTGTCGGACATGGACAAAAACACCATAAGATGGTTGTGTCTGATATTGAGGGCAGAGAGATTATGGCACTGATTTTTCTTAAAAATCTAATAAAATGTCATCGTGTTTCCGTCGACAAGAGTGTGTCCGGGCGATAGACACATTTACTCTGGATTTCGTGTTGCTCGTGCCAAGCACGGGGTGTGGATTTTCGTAGCCCGGAATGCCGGTGTTTTTGGATTCTGGAAGTCTCCTCCCATAAAGATATACAGAATCATTTTTATTTGGTCTAATTCTTTAACTACGCGAAGTGCAAAATGCGTTAAATGTAACGTGGCGTGATTGTAAGATTAATTTTCTCATTTATGAGGTACCTGGTGGTTGTCGGCCTTTTCTGGTTTGGATGAAGACCGAACAGAGAAAACGAGGCTCGTTGGCTCTCGGAGACAGGTATAAGTGTGCGCAAAGTACATTTGTTGAGGGTAAAATGCGATTATCTGCCTTCAGTTTAAAAAAGTCAACTGCAGTTCGCTTGTTACCTTCACAATTACTCAAATACATATTCACGTGACTAAGTGAACATATCCTATCGTCAAAAAAGACTTGGAATCTGTCGATGAGACCCAAAATGTGTGGTTACTCTGACTTCCCTTGCCCCCAAGCACTTGTGCGCTCGAGAACTGGAGTTACATAATATCACTGAAACGCAAATAACGGTTGTCGAAAAATAACTGCGAACATGCCATGATGACCAGAAATTGGATTCAGAAACCCAGAAAGCCCACAATGTCCGATGTCGGGGTTGTTTCCTTGGAAGCAGAGGCAGGCTTAATAGACTGTGTTTGGTGCCGAAAATAAATCGAGTCTGCAAGCACAGATTTGTGAGGGACTATAGGTAATCTGTGATCCAAAACTGCGATGAGACCAAATGAGAGACATTGAGACTCCGTTGTCGATTGCATCCAACGACGTGTCTACACAACCCAGACTACCTAATTTTTTACACGTTTACCAGTTTGTTTAAAGTTGACAAGAAGGCAACGCAAACTCGTGGATTTTCCGTAAGATTGTGAGAATGCATTTGTTCGAGTCTCCAACAAAACGAAAGAGCTGTGTGCAGGAGGCGGGATTAGGTACCACTGTAATGCAGATGACCTTGTACCAAATTTTGGGGTGTATACTCTCGAGTTCTAACCCTAACCCAAACCTTAATCCTAGACCTTATCTTAGTCCCAACGCTGATATGCCTGGGATTTGGCACAAGGTAAACCTACATCGCATTTTATTCATTTACAGGGAATGCAGAAAACAACAGTAATTAAATTGGTAATTCATGTGCTATCTGTAGTCATTTGCAAACCGTATCCCACTTCAGGTTACGATAAGCTGGGATAAGACACCGCATCTGCCGGGTCTTAGAACGATTCAGTCAAATTCTAGGTAACCTTACCTAGAGGTTCACAGCTCATCATCAACTCTATCCTGTAGGCGAGTAACATTGCTGTAGCTCAATCAGTCGATCGCCCGCAAGATATACAGTGCGTGACCGATCTCATGAAAAGTTGACCAAAATTCTGAAATCCGTTTTCCACTAGGAAGGATTAATAAGGTGGCGTTGTAATATTGATGAGCGTGTAGCATAATCTTATAGTATTTCGGACTCGCACGATGTCGGCTTTTGAAGGCACTTCTTCCTGACCTACTGCAGAAACCGTAATCGGTAATGAAATGTCTACTAAGTAGCATGCATTTTCAAATTGATTTTCGGTGGTCTTGTAAATTTAAATATATTTTATAGAAAACATGCAGAAGAATATACTTTCTTTTACTTGTTTGGTAGACAATCACATTGTCTTCACATTTTGTGCAGAAAGTGTATATTTAGGTTTGGGAAAGGTTTCTTAATTTCCGAATAATTTTGAGCCTGATCGGCCGCTGCATTAGCGTTCAGCGATTTCATTCTACAAGGTGCATGCGTTCCGCGTAAGGAAAATCATACATTCATCTATGCGTTTAAGAAGACACCAAATGGAGTTCATAAAATTTTCCAATGGACGCCGATCTTGTTTAGCATTTCATGAGGAATATTGGTAAACAGGCATGTGCGATGCTGTAGGGATGCGCATCGCACGGTCTTAAAAATATCATAATTAGAAACTTTATTAAAATCGAAAGTTAACCTTTTTTAGGGCATAAAGTGTAAAGACAATGTGATTTTCTATCAAACAAGTAAAAGACAGTATATTCTTCTGCATGTTTTCTATAAAATATATTTAAATTTACAAGACCACCGAAAATCAATTTGAAACTGCATGCTACTTAGTAGTCATTTCATTACCGATTACGGTTTCTGCAGTAGGTCAGGAAGAAGTGCCTTCAAAAGCCGACATCGTGCGAGTCCGAAATACTATAAGATTATGCTACACGATCATTAATATTACAATGCCACCTGATTAATCCTTCCTAGTGGGAAACGCATTTCAGAATTTTGGCCAACATTTCATGAGATCGGTCACGCACTATAGGAACTCAACGGTCCCGGTCTTGTCCGTGGTTCACTTGTCGCTGTGCAGTTCTGTTGGCGGACTGGATAATGGTTGTACTGAGAGAGCCAGAATCAGCCGTCGGGGTTGGTCAAGACTGTTTGTGTCGAGTGATGTGAACTGCATCACATGCGTTGGTCTGCGTCGTATTAGTCGAGGTGTGGTGTTCAGGTAAGACACGGTCGGCTGTGGCTGTCCGGAAGCACACATGTGTCCGAGCTGAAGTCGGCTTAGACGGCCGCAAATCAGAGCGTCTGGGCCTAGGGTCCTGAGGTAAACAAGATGGCCGGTGCAATAGCATCGGTCGGTCAAAGTTCCCACGAGTAAAGTTGGGTCGCTGCAGGACCAAGAACAATCTTAATTATAGTAATATTAATGACTCATCGGTTCTGCGCCTTTCATGAGTTATGAGTAGGGCGGGAATAGCAGTGCCTCATTGGTGGCAAGACAACTACCAACCATTTCAAACACACGTCAGCGGGATGCGTCATTTAGTTGGAGCAAACTACTAAGATACAGTGAGGAACGAAACTTGTTCCCGCCACTTTCTGTGAAGTACTCCCCTTGGTAACACAAATGGCCAAAGCTGCACCATCCTCGTCCACAGGAACTGCATAACACTAAAGTCAGTAAGGATAAAGCGTATGACGGGGATAGGTTCACTATCGAGAACTGCCTACTATATTTATTAACATAGGCGTCATTCGGTAGAATTTTCGGCGAGGATGCACTCACGCCCTTTGACGGCTCTGACTCCGGCAGAATGACACCCTTTGAAGTGAACCACCCCAACGACGCGCTGCTGCAAAAATGTTTATATAGACTTCTTGTTCTAAACCTACCCAAAGATAGTTCTTTAGTAAAAGGCAAAAAATTTGTCCGCAGTTGTTGGAATGCCAGAGGCATCTGCTTATGCATATTACAACCGCCCACATCGCCGTCCTGCCCGGGTACCCAACGAAGATCATTACGACATGACCTACAACTTTAGGTTTGCGATCACTGATTAATTGTTTTTTTATTTTTCTTTGAACTACGAGGTCGACTTCCGCTTACGATCTTACCGTGGACAAAGCCTTATGGTAGGCTCTTGACTTTTTTGCTCAATTGTCTTCCAAAGGTTTCCTCGCTCCTCGTTGTGAGGCCGCATCCTTATAATCCCTATAACCACCATTCCCGTGAGACATACTCTATCGGTTACCTTTTTCTGACACCGGTCATATACTTTATCCTTGCACACTAGTCCTATTAGCATCTTCCCTGTCGTATGTTCCGCTATTCATTCGAAAGAGTTGCTCTTTGTATCTTACCAGCAAAGGCTGAAAAAGCCCAGAGTGCACTTTTATAATACGACACCAGCCAGATGACTATGACCTGTGACATCGCCTCGTTTCGGGAAGAAAACTGAAGGCGTACATGGAGGAGCTATCTCCGTGGCCTATCGAGCTTAAGGAAAGTGCCAGGCTCAGATGCGATCCCAAATGAAATCTACAAGTGCGGCGGCCACCGACTGACAGACGAACTCACCACGCTACTCCGGGAGAGGTGGCGAAGGGACGGGTCCCTCAGGACTTCAAATACGCCACCATCGTTCATCGGTACTAAAACGATGTACAGACAACCCGGCAACATCAACCCTGTTCTCCCACAAACATCCCTACTATCACCCCTGCTGAAAACACCGCGACGACTACCACTCCCGTCAGCGGTTATCAGACTGCCGATGACCCGTCATCGATCCCCAGCATCATCCACATTTCCTCAGCTCATGCGTCCGTCACACGACAATCTCCGCCAACACCACGATCTGTCGCCCTCTCCCCATCGATGGGACGACATCCGACGTCCCTCATCTACTGCTATCACCATCAACACTCCCATCTCCAGCGACGTGGACTCAGTTCCAACCTGTCCCTGTTGCGATCGCACATTTACCTCACACATCGGCCTGGCTGGTGACACGCGAATACGTCGGACGGAGACCGGTGAGCCAGTGCCCGACGCATCCATATACACCAGGCGCACTCGACTCAGCTGCCCGCATCGCCCCGCACATCCAGCCACCGTTTGGGTCTACTAGGTCACATGCGCATTCATGAAAACCTGCCATAGGTCAACGCCGGTCATACCACACCATCGCATTTCTGCTCACGAGCATCTGCAACGCACACCAATATCCCCTGCCAGCACACAACGCAGGCACACAATTGATACCTCTCGCTTAAGTGGTAAGTGTGCTTCTCGGCTCCTTGTCTATGTGGCTCCTCTGCTGCATGTGTGATCCAGACCTGAAACTATCACGGTGCAACAAGCGCCGTGGCTTGGAAAGTTGCCGACTGATGTCTCCACTCAGTCCACAAAGTCTGCCCAGCTGTGTGTTTGTGTGGAGTGGCGGACTGGTGGGCTGGGAGTCAGGCTGCAAAGGTTCCTTCCTAACGTGACCTTCTGCACTCTCATGCCTGTGAGGAGTGTGTACAAGGGTAGTGCCTCTCGATCGATGTCCGACTGGTTATCCTGCCTTTAAGAGGTGATGGCCTCGGCGAAATGCATAACTGCGTCTCACCCTTCTAGGCTTTAAGGATTATGGGTGTCTGCTATGTCATGGTTCAGAAAACCATGGCCCTCGCAGCCTGGCGTCCGCTGGCAGTTCTCTGGCGCCTGGTTACCTACTGGTGGATGCGCTTACGCTCCAGCTGGGTATACAGATCGTCTGCATGGTTGTCCAGTAACTTGTCGTTCTTCTCTTTCTGACTCACTTTTGTTGGTTAATATCCTGGTCAGGTCTCTGTTGTGGACCAGGGGGCTGTGGTGGTACGCTTAGGTGCGGGTTTGGCCGTGCCAGTTGCGTGAGCCCTCTATCGCCTCCGGTCTTCTTGACAAGATCATGACACCGGGCACGAGCCGGGGAGGAGAGATCGTGGCAGATACTGCGCAAGTTCGCTCTCACTATAAACTAATTCACGCACACGTCACCGTGCCTGCTTTCACCTTGCTGTGGAGTAAACGGCGGACATCGTCGGACGTGACGGCTCAACTGTCACAAAAGCACCTTACACCGGAAGGCATAAGGTCACGATTGACCGTTTCCTTCTCGAGCACTCAACTTCTAGACTCTGAAAAGGACCCTCCCGGGATGTAAAGGCATGTAATATATGTTTTAGTAGGATGGCGCTCAATGATCGTGCTACGGAGCTCACTCATGCCGTTAAGCCTCGGGGCTCTCTTCTCGAGCCCCGACAGCAGCCACACAAGGGCGTTGGACTTCTTACCAACAGGTCCTGGGATCGAGCCTCAGGTGTACCACACCTCAGGGTTGGGTGTGGCTAACTGATAACGGCTGATATGTCAGAAGTGGCCACTCCAGTCTCCCTTGTCTTTGTCGGTAATAACATTCTGCATATATCACGCGCCGCTGTGCAGTTGCCGGAGGGGCTCCTACATAGACTTCATGCCATTGGAAGCAATGGAATTCCAAAATCATTTATTGAGACTCTTTACTCGGGAATTGCAGTTCTACGTGAGAAAAAAATTGGAAGGAGACTGCTACAACCAACAAGAATGGGCCACGGATTACTAAAACATTTTGCTTTTAAAAGTGCGGCATTCAGAAAGAGGAAGTGGTGATTAGTCGATTGACACAGACTGACTAAAGCCTGAACATTTTAAAATTGAAAGGGATAGCAGCCGTCCAGGACCGTAGTGAGCATAAAATATTTTTAAAGGACCGTCTCTGTGGTATGCCGCTAGTTTGTAACTCTGTCTACGTTCTGCGCCGGGTCTAACGATCAGCAGACTTAGCTAAGGGACAGACAGAAGAGGAAGGTGAAGATTGGGCAAAACTCCCGCTGTTGCACGCCAACCTTTAGATTGTTGCTGATCCAAAGCAAAAGTGGCCTTACTAATTTCAGGTTATACAAACGGGGTTCAGGACGAAAAACAGCGCCAAGGAACTAAAAGTCAGAATACGGTCCTAATACCTCAGTAAGACATACCGTAACTATCAGTGCGCTATACACTTTCACTGTCTCCGACGCACGCTCATACGGGTCCCGCTAACTGTACTGGACCAAAAATTAGCTGGTAAGCTGCAAAGTGTTCTGGCCGCGGTTAAAAGATATCGACTGACCAGACAGGCATTTTTCCTGCATTCTAGTGATCAGGTCTTCAGTTGATCCTCATGTCACTTGACGCATGCTGAAGTCCTCGAAGGACTGTGCAAAGTAGAGGAGACGGCAGCGCGAAGGATAAAGAGGTTACAAAGGGAGCCCAGAGAACTAGGGTTCCAGTGATAGAAAAGCAGGGTTTTGAGGACAAAAACAGGTTACTTGTACGTGGATGCAAAACCAAGAGGAATTTGTCCTTGGAAATGAAATACTTTTTCTCTACAGAGCACCTGCATATGAGGAAATTGAAACGCTCACCAACTTGCACCCTGATCGGCAGTTAATTCCTTCGAGAGGGGGAAGATGGTCTGCAAAAAGAGGCCTGGCAATGTTGTCAGTTGACGTCTGCCGCACTCAAAGTAGTTGCTGGAAAATGCGGATACGGCAGACTTAAGGAAGTGAGGCACAGAATCTGCGCAAACTTATCCTCCTGGGTTGAACTAATTTGGTGCTCCTGATGAAAAGTAAGAAGATAACTGTCGCCGAAATCTGCACGCTGTCGTCTGAGCATAGGCGGAAGCCTTATGATGCATGCAAAAAGTAAGTTTACGAAGAACGCTCCAGACTGACTTTTGACAGTAAACAATGGTCCTCACGTTTTTTCGCTTGGACTTTCGAGAATCAATTCAGTTGCATAAACAAGCTTCGAAGCCGTTTAATATGTGCACATAGGGGAACAGCTGTATTCGTCATCCCTAGCCATTCACTCAACAGTTTAGGGACCGAACAACGCCTGTTGCACGGTGAGATGAAGACAGGGCGCACAGTCCCCGCCCGAAATGGGCCTCGGTCTGTAATTAACCTTAAATCGTATGCGAACGTCGTTAATATGTAGGAAGCTCCAAACATCCCGCTTCTCTAGAACAAGTAGATTAAGGCTATCTGCAGTTGCCTGGGAGTAACGTACACCAACCACTGGGATCATTCATTTGCTCTAATCATTACTCTGCTTGGTCGGTGTGGAGTCATTCTTGTAACTGGAGGCCCTGAAGTTGCTATTTGAAAGTCCGCACCACACCTGTTCATTCATCTCTCACTCGCACAGTTTAGAGTACTCAAGCAGATAGGTACTTGCACATCTTGGCATTCGCTGGTTATGCCGAAGATAGGGCCTTAGTAAGCACACCCTTACCAAACACAAACGTGAATTGCCCCTTACACAGTGAATAAGCAGCGAAGCGTCTAGTGAGTTTCTCTGAGGCGTGAAATATTTAGCAAGCCTTAGCGTATCTCAGAATGTAGCATCGGACGCATATCGTCCGGCTGCAAAACGTGCGTGGTCTCTTATGGTGATTGCATTGCCCCCAACAACGCAGCCTTTGGAAGTTTGGACTGCACTTAAGACCAGAGAAACGTTACGTTTTCCAATCAATAAATATTTTACAACAAAAGTTAACATAAGAGGTACCAATAGAAGGCCGGGCTCAAGGTTAAAGTATATGAGACAGAGTGCACAATGCGTATTTAACACTTGGCTCGGAAACTATACAATCGTTTGAGTAATTATGTAAGTCGGGTCTTCAAAAGTGTTGTGGTCTCATAGAAGAAAGTGAGGACGGCCCAGATTCGTAAAGCGCTCAAGCTTGTGCGCGTCCTGTAACAATCTGGAGATCTCACTCAATGCGTAACCTTCAAGCAGAAATCGTCCAAGGTTGTTCCAAGATCGACCTAGTCGATGGTCAGTGACCCGATCCTGCTGAAAGTTGTACGTGCGAACGCGGTCAGACCGCTCCAATGAGCCCATTTGGGAGCGCCGTTGTGTCTCCTCTGCTTCGAGCTGTTCTTTTATAAGGTTCTTTGATATCCTAAAGGCGGTTTAAAGGTACAAACAGCAGTGACGTGTGCCAGGAGGCGCATACCGTAAAAAAGTGCATTAAAACAACGATGTTATGATCTAAAGTTTTTGAATTTTCGAAGTTTTGAACTCAATCTGCCGTTGAATTTGCGTCTAGGCTTCTCAGTCTACAAGCTAGATACTTTCCGCGTGAGGTAGAACATACATTCTTATATGCTCTTAAAACATAACACAACACTACTACTGATAACATGTAGGGCTTACAGAATTTTGCGACAGATGTGGACTATATTGTATATCTCACGGGCCTTATTAAACAGGCAAATTCGATGCTATTTGAATAGATGTTGCACGGTTTCGAAAAATCCCGTAATTAGAAACGTCTTAAAAATCGAAAGATAGTCTTTCTTCGAGTATAAGATTTGAAGAAAACGTGATTTTTTTTTTACCAAATTAAGGCAAGAAAGAAGACTTTTGTGCATGTGTTTTAAAAAATATATTTGGATTTAGACGAGCATCAAGGTCAATACTAAAATGAATAGTATTTAACTAGCCGTTCTTAACTGAGAATAGTCTGACAGGCGGCCAAAAAGAAGTGCACTAAAAAGCGAACACCCTGGAATCTTCGAAATATCACGGAATTATACCGTAGGACAACCAATATTGCAACCCCACTTAGGTAGTCCTACGTAATCAAAAACACACTTAAGAATTTCAGTTAATATTTCACGAGGTTGGTCGCTAACTAGGCGTGGGCAGAGAAAGAAAGAAATCTTAGCGCAGACAAAAACGAATGGTACAGTGAATGTTAGGGATGACCAATGGAGTAGGTTACCGTGAAGGGATGCAGTACACAGTCTTACTAACTTATATATAGACGACATGACGATCTAATTCTTCATGAGAACTCCTTAAACAAAACATTTCGCAATTTAAAAGGTTATTTGTGAGCCTGTCTGCCCGCGGGTCAAGGTTTCGCCCTCCCTCGTGATCTGACGGAGACAGCTGTGAACCTTTTAATGCCGCGAAAAGAATGAGAAATATCGTCACAAACACCCAAAGTCCTGAGCAAATAACAGTGTTAACCTACACTGGTTATAACGAAGAACACTGCTGCGCTCA